ATGTACTTAATCATGTGCATCGGTTTTTATTTTTATGATCGGCAAGGATCATTTTTCCATTTATTGCTGTTTTAAAGTTTCAAGTCCCAACTGCTACTTTTCTCTTCCTTTGTTTCAGGTATGAACCAATAGAACTACAGTCTCGACAGAGACTTCTGGTTTTTTCTAGATTTCTTTATTTCTTATAAAATTAGTAAACGACATCTTTAAGTGTTGCATCTCCATATGAGAGAAAAATTCTCGAGAGATACGTTAATCTTTTATTATTTCTTCTTCAACATATGTTCAATTTCAACATTGATGAGAGAGATCTTTTAAGAATCGTTATATTAAACAGATTTTAAAATTATTTTTTATAAGAGTGTTCACTGTATCACTGGTAATTGTTATTCACAATATAACAGGACTCAGACATAACTAGAAAATCCACCTATCTATCTGACAACGTGCCAACAAATGATAATGAATATGATGAATGTGTTTTTGATTTCTCCATAACTGAACACAAAAAGAAAAAAAAATTGTTGGACTTAATAATCAAGACTGGTGTTTAGACTGTCAGTTCAACAAAATTTTAACTTGCGAAAATTTGATGTAATAATGTGACATCATCGGCGGTCCAAAAAATATTTCTAGGTATTTTTTATTAAGAAATTATGTAGAATTAAAATCAAAATGCCATAAGAGCGTGTCTCTTTCATAACTATCAAATATAAACATTGAGAAAGGTTGTACAAATTATTTGGCTTTAAAGATTTGATTATGAAATAAGTTTTAAGGCAGCAAGTGTCAGATGTAGATGTTTTTCTTTATTTCAATGTTTTTTCACGGCAGGTTATCAAGGTGATGCAGGCTCAAGTTTTAAGTGCCGTTGTAAATCGAGTGCACATATCGAGAACAATAAATTATGGACAGAATTATATAACTGATCTCAAATACGCTAATGAAGGAAGAGTGTGCGTTTCTGTTGTAAACACAAAATTAGCCAATCCTTCCTGTGTGTTTAAAGATGATTCTATTCCGTTTCTCTCTACCCATGGTTCCTGTTTGTGTGTATATACAGATGCCAAATTGCATGAGAGTTTCTTGTTTTGGAATATTTGTGAGAGATCATTTATGGAATGCTGCTTGAGAAATCTTAGCATTGTTCCTTTTCCAGGTGATCTATATAACCTTGATGATATCCTCAGTTTTTGGCCTCTGTCAGATAAATCAGCTAGTGGATACACACAAAAGTGGCCAGATGAACTAACTAGTGGATACACACCAAATGGATAAGCGATGTCCAAATCGGGAGCAATTTTGATTTCTCTGTGGAACCATCAAATGCACAAGCGTTTGCTTGGTAAAGTAGTCAAGTTATCAAAATTCGGAAAAAAACATTTTGAAATAGAGTCCGACAAAAATCGTCCCCTTTTTATTTGCCCGACCCACATAGCAGAAAACGGAAATGGAGACATCTGCGTTTCTGATGTGAACGCCGTGGTCGTCACGGACGCAGGGGGATTTCTGAGATTCCGCTACACAGGAGCACAAAGTGACCCTCAGTTTGATCCATACGGCATCTGTTGTGATTCCAAGAATAACATCATTGTAGCAGACATGATGAAAAATAGAATTCACGTGATCAATCAGAACGGCGAGCTACTTCACTACATTCAGTATAAAGACATGCACATGCCACGTGCTCTCTGTATAGACGAGCATGACAATCTGTATGTCGGGGAATGGTTGTCTGAAGAAATCAAAGTCCTCTCACTCTAATGATTTAAAGTTATTTCATTAAAAAAAAGACATGTTTTTAAAACATTTTTTATTTCTATGATTTGATCACGTTGTATTACCTAGAGTTATTATACTCTGAAATCACTTCTTTTCCTGGAGTTTAATTTTTGGTGTTTTTGAAGCATAAATAGACCAACAAATTTATGTTAACCACGAAATGTAAATGTCATATTCATAACTATGCAGCACAGTTAAGGTTACAAAAAGGAGGCGGAGCCTAATTTGTACGGGAAAACTTTACTATGACATCATTCACAATATACGTCATACAACATTTCTTTAAAATACCAAAAAATGAGTTAATCTGCTAATTTAACCAGTAAGAAATCATCAAACTACATAAAAACTTACTACAGCGTGTAGTTTTGTCGTTAGTTAGATCCCACATAACAAGTTATAAAAAAGTCACTGATCGCAATACACTTGTCAATATGACGTCATCTCTTACAACGTGACGTAGTTTGTATGCAGTGAGAGACAGATCAAGTATTATTTTCTCAACAAAATATGTATTTTCTAATTAAATGAAATATTATTTACATATATTCTATGGGCCGATTACTTGAATTTAACGTCTTCTTCACTGTACATTACGTATTTAATTGACACTGCCGTATATTTGTATGCAAGTACATCGGATGGTAATTTTGGGGGTCTTAATAAATCGATCTAGTGCAAGGGCATATACGCTATGGATCAAAGTAATCTTTTACATTTCAACTATAGACCTATTAAGGTATCTGAAAAGTGCTGCGATCCTGATGAAAACTTAAGGACAGATGATACAAACAGATTTTTTTTTTTGAAAAAGATTAAATATCATGTCACAAGTTAAGAAAAGTGGATGGTTCTTAGAATCTTTCCTCCGAAAAACTGGAAAATGAAATAGATTTGGAAAAAATTTTAGTAATATTTCTATGAAAAAACAAATAAAGACAAATCACATTCAGTAAAGGTTTACAGGTGAAAATAAATTTCAGAATATGTTATATAAACCTTAGAAAAATATACTAAGCCAGGTGAATTTTAAGAGGAAGATCGAAATGACAAAAAATTGGCAATATCACATAGGCTGATTTTTAGCATTTAGCTTTTCCTAATAAAATTCACCTGGCTCGGTATGTTTTTGTTAAGTTTATATTACACTTTTAGTGCCAAGATAACATATTCTGAAATTTATTTTCACCTGTAAACCTTTACTGAATGTGATTTGTCTATATTTGTTTTTTCATAGAAATATTACTAATATTTTCCAAGTCTTTTTCGTATTCAAGTTCTTCTCAGAAAAAATTCTAAGAACCATCCACTTTTCTAAACTTGTGACATGATATTTAATCTTTTTCAAAGAAAAAAATTGTTTGTATCATCTGTCCTTAAAAACAATTTAATTATATCAATATTTCATGCCGCTGACCAGCAAAAAATATAGCATTTGTCGTACAAGTATAATTTTAACAATAAAATAGCAGAATTTAGACAGGATCGCAGCACTTTTTAGAAACTACAATGCGTGTTGAAAATATTTATATACAAAACTTGGAAATTTATCTTGGTTATACCCTTGCATTAGAGATATTTATATGTAACATCCATACTTCAAGTCAATGTGCTAAAATCGCGTGACTGCCGCATCACGTGACTAGTCTAGATATAAATTATAGTCGTCCTCGATATGTAGTTATGTATGTTATTATTCATAATTACAATTGTCCGATATAAATACGGTACTAAAAAAAATCGCCATCCCGATTACGAATACCTTTTTAAATACAAAATTTAGTCGATATTTCCATTGCGCACCTTAACTGTGCTGCGTACTAAACAATTCTTCATTCACGAAATTAAATCTCCACGGACCCGTATTATTTCTTCAAACCACGGAAATTAGACCCAACGAAAATATGTTATTTTACAGTATATGTTTCATTTGCTTCATAATTATTTTTTTTTATATAAATCCCGTTGATAAATATGCATTTAAACATGTCAAAGAAGGGCCTGCAAGTGGAATTTTTTTTTTGTTTCAATGAATTGTCTTGTTTTTCTTCTGAGCAATATGATGCTACATTTTACTCACCCATTTCTACAAAAAGGAGAAAGTGGCTTGTAGGAATGAATGAGTGTGAATCATCATTCTGCATTAAGAGAGAACTCTCTATTGTCATGGAATTTTTCACATGCTTTATTTCAATACATATGGAACGGGTATTCCACAAAGTCATGGACTAATCAAATAGGCAATGTATATTAACATGAGCAAATACGTATTCAATCGATGCACTTGTTATAATTACTTACACAGACCAGACGTGATGCATTTATATACATATATGTACATGTAATACGTGTTATTGCTACAATGCGTGCATTTTGCAGTAATATGGGGCCTCTCAACAACTCACTTTTCCAACTCCATTATGTATCTATTTCCATCATTGCTCCCTGAGCTAATCCCAGAGCATTGCACTCGGGTGTTTTAATAACATTGCATCGAATATTCAAATCTAAAGAAATGGGTGCGTCCATATGTATTGATTGTTATTTGATAAGAAGACCTAAACGTTTTATTCAATGATAATTTTCACCACTTCAATGCTCTTCTTTGTTTGAATTCATTTAGACGAAGATAAAGTTAATTTGTGTGTATTTTGCATATAATCTATATTGTGAGCGTATAATTTCTTATCTGTTTATAATGACAATCCTTTGAATGAAATAACGGATGTATTCAACCATTTTTGTTTCTTTGTAGATATGGCAATGAATTTTCACAATCTTATCCTTTTTTGTTTGTTGTTGGGATCACGTAAAATGTTATATTTTTTTACTTTTAAAGAAAAGTTTTATACCTATTTTTTTCAGTTTGTAAGTAGAATAGGGTTATTCATTTCATTTACATTTTATACTTTTTGGAATAAAGTGATTTTTATATCAATGGAATTTTTCTCCTTATTTCCGGATGTCACGTAGGGAAAACAAGTGGAAATAAAAATGTCATTGTGTTATGAAACCTAGTAATACAAATTCATGATGAATTATCAAAACTGTTTTATTGCTTGATGAAGCTAGGTTCAGGTTCCACAGTACAGCTCAACGCACTTTTCAAACGCACATGGGTTTTTGCGCAAATTAAGGTCACATTGTTATAATGCAAAATGGTGTAGGGTGACAACAAAATATATTTTAAAATGATTTATATGTAAATTTTATTTTGATTTCATTATGATAAACATAATTCATATATAATAAATTGGTAGGATTTTTATATGCTACTGGTTGATATATTATAATATTTTTCAAATGGTTTTTTTCATTGATCCTTGTCAAATGCTACCGTCTTTGTATCAGTTCATTTTAAAGCATACTTTGTCTTAATACAGAAAAAGTGCAGTTCATAAACTTTTTTTTCTGTACATTGATATGACACTAAGGTATTTTTCATCTGTTCGACTGCTTTTCATGGTAAAAGATGGCATTGTTTCAGGTTAACTTCCGAAAATCTAGTATCTATCAAAATTTCAAAGTTTCTTACCATAATTGTAAAAGAATTTTCTATTTAATATTTTCAATTTACTATATATGTTGAAAGATAAACAATACTTTATTATCCTTTATTTTCATATGATTTCCATATGCAGTTTTGTCATTATTTGGCGTTGCATGTCGATAAAACCAAGACATGCATGTAAAATATGCAAATTACATAGAAAAATACTCAGCTGTAAGAAGTCAATTTGAACATTTAAACCAAATAGTTCAACTAATTAATTTCTAATACCTATGATAGAATCAAACAATTTATGAACAAATTCCCTTTTAGAACATTGACTTTTAAAACTTAAGAATTTACATGATATATTTAAAATTACAAGTGCTCTGTCTTTCTTGTTCTGAAATCGATATTTTTAAGTTTTATTGCAAGAAAAATGTGAATTTAATTTGTTCGAAAAATCATGTGAGTTTAAAAATGCGTTGGGATGTATATCAAGGCATCAAAAGATTTGACAAGTACTGTGAAATTTTAATTGACAAAAAAATGCAAGTTCTATTCAAGGTAGCCGTAAGAAGATGATATAGGCTGGGCATTATAAAATGTGATATGTTTGCGTCATCAAAGAAAAGATAAAATTCCTCTTCCAAAAAGTATCATTATAAACATGAAAAATGGAATTCCTTTTTTGCTAAGGAAAAAAACTCAATACACTGTACTAAAGTCTTTTTCAGGCCCCTAAAAGATTTTTCTCTCTCTACATTACCACGTAGATCTATGGAATTTATCCGATAGTAAAATGTATTTCCAGAGTTAAAGTGAAATTTTTCTGAACAAAAAAAAAAGTTTTTTCCCTTTAAAGATATACATGTAGCTGAAAAATTGCCGACTAGGTTTTAATCAGTAACGATCAAAATTTGACTCCTCTTACAAGCCATAATTGACGCACAATATAATTTATCATAAGACAGTGATCTTTCCAGACGTAGGGCGCTTGCTAAGACGATTAGATTCCAGCAAGTAAAGTAGCATTTACATAAAACATAGTTTCTGAGGAATTTTACTGGTCAAAATCGAAATGTTACACTGCTATTGCGCTGCATAAATTTGGTTTGAAAATCTAGTGTCCAATCCCTTAACAAATGTGCTTTAAGTCTATCTGAACTTATAATACATGTAGTTCTATGTATTTCCTGTTTATCATTTAATTTCACATTGATTATTTAAAAACAACTTAGCTGCTTTAAATGTTGGTCAAACACCTGCCGTAAAGGCCTTAGAGTGATACGGGAATGTTTTAGGGAGTATTTGATGCATATTTTCTGATCACAGAGAATAAAGGTTTTATCAAAGTGGAGACATACACAAATTTTGGCCTTTTTCACATGAACAACTGGGTGATTAAACGCCTAGTGGTGAAGCAGTTTGTAAATATGGAACCATTTCGGGTTGTCTCTGGAACCATCAAGTATACTAGCGTTCTCTCGGAAAA